TGTGAGAGCCTGGTCCGGTGAGAACCCGGCGTGCTCCGTCCCGGCTTTGTAGGGATGCGAGGTCAATGGTCTAACGACTACGGCATGCACGACTATGGGTACCCCCCCCTCCCCCCCCCCGCCGGCGCTCGCCGTCACCACTTCCTCCAGCTTTGACAGCCTCACATGCCCCCCGCTCGCCCCCGCGACTTGTAATAGCCTTACTCTCCTTTTTCCTCAAGAAAGTTGCTGTCTACGAAACGTGCCAACATCCATCGGTGGATCTGGCATGTGCCCGGCTCTAATCAGTCGCCATCAAGAGGTTTGGAATAGATGTGTATTCAATCTACCGTATACCTGGATACCAAAGACAGTCAACCAGAGCGAAATCGCTCGGTTATGCTTCGAAGTTCTTGCCAGGGTTTTGTTAATGCGGCTCGAGGCTAGAGATCTCCGCGCCCGGCCTATAAAGCAGTCACAGTAGTAAATACAGGATATGTCATTCTGCACTGCGAGCCGGCGAGCAACGAGGTCGTGAAGCACGTCGATACGATTCACCCCCCGCTCACGTCGACAACAGCTTATGGCGGCGTCAGTGTCAAACCGCTCCATCCCCGCAGCTACTCCACTCTTTGGCATCAATGCTTTCCGCCTCCCCGCCCCCGCACCCCTCTCTCCACCGCAAGCGCGTCCACTACGAGTGCTTGTCTCCCTCCTCAGTGCCGTAACATGCTCTGTAAGCAGGACGAGGCGGGGTAATAAGGGGACGAGAACAGAGTTGATACCTGTTGTTCACGTCTCTCTTCTGCACCGTGACAACCGACCGTTTACAATGTAAACTAAGCGAAATTCATTGCGATTACAGGTAGTGCACGCATACATTTGTTCCGAGTCACCACGACGTGTGTGCTACAACATCAGCGGGACAATAATAGTACAACAGAGCTCTCGGAGGTGGCACCACGCACACTGTGGATTGAGCCCACAATCACCCCACTCCATCCCCAACACTCCGCGCGCGAGCCGACGGTGTCAGGAAAAATCGTGCGTCGAGACCACCAGTAGTCGGACACGGTTTGACCTTTGAATACGATTGCAGCAACTAGTCTTCGTAGCAGTAGAAAATAATCTATCTCTCCTTGTTCTAGAAATATTCCGGAAGCATGCTAGGTCAAGGTCGACCGGGACATCTGCGTAGAACGTGTGTAGCTTCTGGAAACCTTTTGGAACCTTCCGGAACCTTCTGAAAGCTTCTGGAAGCGTTCTAGACCCAGGTTGCACTTGATACTTTTCTAGGACGTAGGAGTGCTTCAAGCATTCTAGATCTTTCGTGTGATTGGCTTCTTTTTCCGGTATTCGAGGAGAGTGGTGCAGCCCTAAGCTCGCCACCCCTCTCACTCCTCTTCAGTACCAGCAACATCAATCTGACTCGGGATTCAGCAATTAATTTTCATATTTCCATTCCAAGTCTCTCGTGCTTGGAGCCTCACAGTGTGAACCTTTGAGGTAGGCTACACAGCCTCCTGGCATCTGCAGCATCGTACTGCTGCTAATGCACAGCAAAATTACGCTGACAGGTTATGAGCCTCGGCGAACGCATACACTACGAGCTGCGAGCATCACGGGAAGATCAAGGCAACCTCCTCTTGGGACATCAGCCTTCATCCGTGGACAACGAGAGAACGTGGTTTCGGAGATTTCTGGAGATTGCGACGCCGTCATCGGTCAACGACACCACAAGCAACCGCGCAAACTTGGTCATCTACACCAAGGTGCTGAGAGTTCACGTCGTATACACACGTTACCATTGCTGCGGCAGCAGTGGGTATCTCTGTGGTGAACTAGCAGCAAGGGTCACTTGCGCGGGAGTCTCGAGCGGCATATGTATCGGGTGTATAAGGAACTACACTGTATCATCAGTGGAGCGATCAGCAACCGGAGTCCTCTATATCAGTAGCAGGAGCGAGATCGGAAACAAGAAAACCACAACCGGACTCGTCTAGATCAGTAGCAGGAACGGGGTGGTGAAGTCTCGGGTACAGGCAGCAGTGCCACGAGCAATCTACTCCTGCAGCAGGAAGTACTTTCATCAAGATGAAGAAAATAAAGCTGGAACGAGCAATGGATACCGCAACGAGCAACACAGGAAGTGGAAGCGCGTTCGCCCGCGATAGTTCTACAAACCTGGCAACCGTCATCAAAGGCCTCAAGAAATTCGACGGAAAGGACCCAGCTGAGTTCAAGACATGGATGAAGAAATTCTGCGTGGTTTTAGGCGTGACCAGGAAGGACATCCCGCAGACACAGCGGCCTTCGACTCCTACACAAGGGCAAACGGAGATCTCTATGCCATTCTTTTCCTCCTAGTGGAATTTCCAGCCGCCTTGTCGGTACAGAAGCACAACGACGACACTGGCATTAGCGGCGACGGACAAGCTGCCTTCGAGGAGTTCTGCAACAACTATGACATGGTAACGGACGCGGTCATCAGGGCCAAGATGGAGGAGCTGGAGAACAACCCCATGAACCCTGGTGAAAATCCCGACGACTACTTCAACCAGAAGCACCTACTTCGCGCCCACCTGGATAAGATGGGAGAACCCATTTCCGACCGCCGCTTCAAGGACATCGGTGTACAGGGCTTCTCCGACGAATATGAGGACGTCAAACTGATGGTGTTCAGGGACCCAACCTTCAACGTCCCTGGACATGAAATCCACCATGCGCAACATCTTCTTGGACGAACAACCGCGCAAGGGATGGAAGGGACGCATACACACATGGCTGGTCAAGGATTTGCCATGGCAACGACCGCGTCTGACATAATCTGCCACAGCTGCTACCAGCCGGGGCACATCAGGAGGAACTGCCCCAAGATCAAGAACAGGGCGAAGAAGAAAACGCAGCCCGCCAAGCGGTGCTCCAAGCACAACACTACGTCTCGCACAGACGAGGGATGCTACCAACAAGGAGGAAAGCGCCCGGAAGACACCAAGGACTCAAGTAAAGCATTCACCGCGTGCTCCGACTGCACTCACTGCTCGTCGGCGTCCAACAAGAACGACTGAAACAACGAAGTGGCAGTTGTCGACTTCACCCGGGACGAGGACGCCTTTGACAGCGGCTTCATGTTCGGCACGTGTTCCCGCATCTCAGGACGCAACTTCGCCGCGAGCTCCACCGGGGTAGGCCTGCTGGTAGACACGGGAGCATCGGAGACCATGTTTGACAATCGCCTCATCCCCGACGGAAACCTCCACGATTACACCCAGCGAAACTGTCCAAAGATCGTCGACGTGGCCGGAGAGAGCCAACTCACAGGCACGGCCACGGGCATCCTACACTGCACCATCAAGGACAATCGAGGACAGCAATTGCGCGTGCGGATTCAGGGACTCATCGTTCCGGGACTTGTTCGCAACATTTTTTCGCCCACCTCCCTCCTGAAAAAGGGATTGCGCTGCGTCGTCGAAGAGAGCACTCCGCACCTCACTATCCAAGACAAGGTGATTCCACTCACACAAGATCCGCGAGACCAAGGCATGTGCACCCTCGACATCACGTTCGAGCAGAACGTCCAGCCATCTGGCACGAGATCCCTTGTGAACGAACTCCTTCGGCAAGAAGTCCGGAAGATGCAGTAAGACAATCTCGCTCGGGAGGAGCTTCGCCTAGAACTGGACGGGAACGAGGACGAAGATGGAAACGGGCAAGATCTCAGCGACGGGGACGCCCCATGACCGCATCTCTCACCGACGCCAGCTGGACCGTCATCCGAAACCCACGCATCTTGCCCCAGCCCATCATCGTCGAACCCGTCTGAACCGAACACTTCTGCATCAACTGGATCCTTCGGCATGCGGCGCCTGCAAGTCACCAGAGCTAGCACGCGTGGGAAGCCCGCCAACGACGATCAGATCGACGTTAACTTGGTTCCTGCCGATCTGCAAGTCACCATGAACGACCGCGGTCGAGCCCATGCTGCAACGGGCCGCGTGGAGCCATCCGGTCTTTCCTTCACTCAGCTGGCTGACATAGTATATCAAGCCCAGCTCCCATGCCCTGGCGATACTGAGGATTTCNCGTGCCCCTCAGTAGCGTTCCCAAGGGAGAGGAGATCCTCGCAACGAAATTCGTCTTCAAGAAAAAGCTGGACGGACGCTGCAACGCTCGTCTGGTATTTGGAGGACATCGTCAAGAGCCAGGACAGGATTACGGACGCAGCTACGCCCCA